TTTAGGAGGTATGAATTTTGAAGAAGGGAAGTATTTCATTATTTCGTTTTGGCCATATCATTCACTTCGTTTAATACTAAATGGTCTCCATATATAAGTATTAATCCACGGACGGTCACTTGAAATTTTAATCTACGAACATATGCAGATCAATTTTATGTCTGTCGAAGCATAGAGAAGAATACTGAACATTCTCATACTCGTTCACTGACCAAATTATATGAAAATATAGGAGAGTCGTTGAAAACCAGAATTCGCTTAATCACGGCATTCACGTAATTACGGTGTCATAAACGAACGAACGTTCCACCGCGTCATTATTTTCCCTTTAAAATGACATTCGTCCTTTTCCTCGAGCCTCGGTTACTCCGTCCGAGACCCACCGTCATTAGTTTTTTCCTCGCTTACATAGTTACGGATGCTGCGCGGCCAAGTACTCTTTAGAATACCTACTTAACTCGATCACTTGTCTTCGAACATTGTCCCTATTCACTGTCTTACTCGCTAATCGCTGCCGAATCTATTCTTCTAGTAACAAAACGGCTCCATTCACAAACAGCTTCATTCCTCAAAAAAGAAAATGAAAAAGAAAATCAAACTGGAATATAAGCGGTACAAAAATGTAATCAGCGAAAGTGTGCGTAATTGAATAAAAAGAATTGAATAAAAAGTTTGTTTACAGTAGATAAAGTCTAGAAAACTAGGTGAATAATCAGAATATGGAAATGATAATAGAGGAAACAATCAGGAGAATCGAGAAGTGGAGAGATCGATCCTTCTGGCAGGATCCGTGGCCAAATCGGCAGTTAGGAACGGCCATGAACCATTTTCGCCCTACGAAGGAGCAGCGCACACAGCAGAGCACAGACAAAATAAAAATGCGAGGAGGAACGGAGCGTCGAAGCGCGCGCGAGAGGAGGGATCGGAGAGACTTAGAGAGGACACGGGAACGAGGAGAGAGGTGGAACGAAGAGGAGAGAAGCCGGCCAACTTCTCTCACCCGGTTTGGGCCGGCTTGGCCTTCCGAGGGGGCCAGCCTAGACTCACGATTCTCATCTCTTGCGCTCTGGTCCACCGCGAGACGAAACTCGTACCGATGCTGCTGCTGCTGCTGTTGCTGCTGCTGCTGCTGCTTTTTCTTCCTCCTCTTCTTTTTAGTACGCAAGACGACGGCGACTAACACGTTCTCTCCGTTTCGTTCCATGGGTCAGTCGCGATTTATTAGGCGAGCTAATTAATAAGCTAACTGGCCGCGCGGTCCCGATAGTGTGCGCGTCTGTCCATGGGCGTTTCGTGGAAATCGAAAGCAACGATTCGCGATTTATTGCCGCGCGGGAGATTCATGGTTCCGGGCCCACGTTTGCGGGGTTTATCCGATCTCTTTTCACCGAATGGGAAGGTTTAATAGGAAGGAAACAAGAGGCCTAATGGCGTCGGCGATCGCAGCCACGGAATTCCTTCAATTCGGTCGTTCCCGCGATGAGGGATCGATCCTCCAGCCACCGAATTCCTTTCTGCTTGGTCGCCACGATGCTACCGTAATTCGGATTAGAATGGAACCGTGGCGATTCATGTTTCAGTAAAACAATTTACTGGTTACGAAAACAATGATTTCGAATTAGCGATGCTATCATTCTATCGATCGATATTCGACTTGTATTTACCACTGTTTAAAATAGAAACTTCGTACAGTTCAGTTTACTCGTGAAATTCTATACCTAGTTTAAATTAAAATCTCCTGAATTTCCATCGCAACAGATTTTTCTCCATCAAGCAACAATGCAATTTTCATCACCGTTTCATTTAAAGCCGGAAACATTTTTCTCTCTTCTCAGTAAGGGAGAACAATTAACGGGGCTCTCCATTGTCCAGCGACGAATTTGAACGATTCGCGGACAAACCTCGCGCAGATTAATTTTGCGTTTCGAGTCCCCTCCGTTGCTTTTCACCGGATCCAGTCCCGATCCTGAGATTCGCGTCACGGCACGTCAGTCGCACGCTGCTGCAATTCAACGTGAAATCTAAGGCGCCGCTCACACCGTTACAGCCGTCCTCGTCCTTGACGGACTCTTTCCTCGTAACGTTCCTGCCGTTCGTTTCTGGCCTCGATCTACCATTTCCTTCCGTTTCGTCGTCGTCGTCGCAGAGCTTGCAACCCGCTAGGTCGTGCTGCCTCATCGCGATCCGTATGGTACGAGTTATTTCCGGGCTGGAGGATCGCGATTCCGTGTCTCCCTCAATGTCGGCGCGAACGTTTCCGGATACCTCGGAGCAAATGCAATCGTTCGCATTCTCGAGGTTGAAGTTCGATAATCGAAGGCGACCGGCTCCTAGAAGAGTAACGAGTACAGTGAGTAATTATTGAATTAATAAATTTCTTTGTTTTTATTTGATCTCGAGATTTTTTAGGAATCGTATTTTTTTTAAATGAAGCAAAGGTTTATTTAGTCGAACCTCGACCAAAACTCCCGAAAATTTTCCGACCCAACGAGCGGATCGACGATCGAACATACATACTTCGAGAGACGAACCGCACATAAAACGGATTCCCTTACGCGTTCGTGAATACCGGGAATGCCAATGAGTAAACGTTCGTCGAAAGAGCGTAGTTCGAATTGACCTTCGACAATGTTCTTCGTGCATTCTTCGAGGGTTGGTGCTCCTTTGGTACATTCCAGGAACTCCTCGCCTCCTTTGCGTCCGGCTGCCCGAGACTTCCTCGATCTCGACGATCTTTTCCTTCCTCTGGCCGCCGGCTCCGTCTCGCTTCCGCTTTCAGTGCTCGTGACCTTCTCCAGAAGCTCGTCCGAAACGTCGTCCTTGGTATCGACGGCCCTGGACCGCGCGCTCGCCTGTGATTCGATCAGGGGAATCGGGGATTCTGGAAGCTCCAGGGAAACGATCGTTAGGAACGGCGGCCTTTCCTTCCTGATCCTCTCCAGCCAGGACCTATAACTGTTTCGTTCGCGATCACGATTAAATCGTGGACAGAGTAAGAGAGAACTGGCTGAATTAGACGGGTTTCCGGGCTGGAAAATTGAGTTTCGTTTTAGGGATGGATCGATGATTAGCCTCGGTCTCCGCGGTGTTCATCTAATTCGAATTAAGTACCGAGCATCGTCGTCGCTCGAAGGACGGCTCGATCGTCTCTATCTGAGATTTTGCTTTTTAAAATGGAATAGTGTAAACGATGAAATCAGAGGTTACAACAAGAAATCGAAAGATTAGTAAAGTTCTTCGAACGAAAGAAATGAAAAAATGAGAAATGTCGCAATCGTTAGAAAAAGTTTGCTAAAAGACATCGTCAGCTGGACGAGCCTCGTGCAACGATGAAGTGGCGGATAAAAGCGCGTCCGAAAGCGGTCGATAAATGGGCCACGATAACGAAAGCGGCGGAAAGCGACGACGAGGAAGAAAGAATTCTTTCTAAGAGGGTCGGCTGATTCGGCACGCTGGAGGTGGATTCACGAGAAACGAGAGCACGTTCTAAACTCGCAATAAACTCGGTAACCTTGCCCGGATCTCGAGCAGAGTCCGGGGTCAGCCACGAAATATAATACCACGCTCGTGTCCGGCGGAACGTTCCACTGAAATGGAAAAAAGACGAATTCCCGAAGAGACTTGGCGGAGCGTTTTCGGAGCGACGAGAAGAAAAATTTGTAATCGAGAGTTCGGAACGCGACGAAGAAGACGAGAACGAAGTACGTTAAAACGACGTATGAAGATAGACAGTCCTGCTTCGACGCGATAGTCGCTTTAATAACGTCATAGCGCCGCGCTCTGTGGCGAGGGCACGATCGCCTTCGAAGCTTTATTAAGTCGCGCGGCACCAATCGTTCCTCCTGTCCCGACGGTTAAATTTTAGTGCGTTTAATTACGGGTTCCTGCGTCACGCTAACGATCCGCGTGCCCACCCCGACTCCGCTTCACCAGTTCCAAGTTTTGGTTAATCGCCTAGGAAATCCTGTCTCCGGGGATTCATCCGTCTGGCAGAATCGCCGTTGCGCGGTTATAGGGACAGGGATCATCGCAGTTTGGCCGCAGCTGGAACGATGATACGAACATTTTTTTGTTGAGCGGGCTCCTTTGAAAAGAAGAATCGTTTAAAGAAGTTGAAAGTGCACCGTAAGAGCAACCGCAAGAGTTTAAGAATATTTTTAAACAACTTATTTTTTGCATACTCGACGGTGAATCTGAAGAGCTCGTTAATTCTATTTTAAGAAATCTGCAACTTTTTACTCTCGTGGAGTCGTATGTTAATACATATAAGACGTCATCTTTAGGTGAAACGTACTTCTGTAGTCAGATGTCGGAACTTGATAAGAATTATAAAAACATGACGTTCGCCTGGTATGCAATTTATATTGTGAACACGTTATTAATTGTTTCTCTGTTTGACAACAGATTTATTGGCACCATTTCAGTAATCACTATATTTTATTTATAAAGTATAAAAAATTCTGTCGTACGTGAAAATACTGGGAACGTGTAGATGTTAACAAACCGGAAAAAACTGATACGAGAATCATTCTCGAGGAGCCGTAATAATCCTTAGTGACCTGCATCGATCGGTCTCGTCTCGATGCGCCGAGGGAATTTCGAACTTGAATCGCGAGAGATCAGTGAGAGTGTACGTGGGTTCGCGTTTATCATAAGCGAGGAAGCGAGAGAGGAAAATACCTCGAGGATCTCCTGGAAGAGGGCACGTAACCGGTGGTTGGATGACAGATATGGCGTGCCGGGGACTGCGACCTTGAACTCGACGGTTCCCTCGCACTCCTGGGGTCCTCGAGCGTGAGGCGCCGAATGTAGAGTCCTGGCACCTCCTCCGCCAACTGATGTCTTCTCCTGTACGAAGCCACAGTGACTGGTCCAACCGATTCTCACCATCGATCATCCGACGTCGTTCTCTTCTTTCTTTTACCGCTCGTCTCGTCCTCTCTCTCCCTTTCTCTCTCTCTCTCTCTTCCTCTTCTTCATATCTCCGACTGGGGAACGAAAAGGTTGAACTCGAACAGTGACCTTGAACCGCGGTCCTGAGACGCTCAACGCAGCCGCGGAGCTTCGCCGGGGATCGGTTGCGTGCTTCCGATCGGCAACATTGTTGTATCGAGACCTTAATGGGACGTTGGTCAGCGATCAGGTAAAGAGATCGATGGTTCGCTGATTTTTCTCCGAGAATCCTGGCCGGTAGATCATACGTTGCGGATCAACGCGTTGTTGCGGCGGCGTGGCAGCGTCATTTGGAAACGCGAGCTGCGCGAGGTCGGAGCAAATCTACAGGTAATTGCATGCGGTTCGATTAAATTGCTCCGCTAACTTGCGAAACGTGAGGCTAACCGGCCCCGACGATCGTGCGAGCTCGTTTCTGTAACAATCGATGGTTTTGTATAAGGATTGCGAAGATCGTTAACTAGGTACATGGGTATCGGCGGACAATTATTATCGCAACTGATTGACTTTCAAACCGCCGAGCAGATTGTGTGTGTGAACAAAGAAAATCGATTGAGAAACTTTGAAACGAGAACTGAAACAGACGACACAGAAAATAGCCAATTGAATGAAATTTTTATTTCCAAAACGCAATTGCATTTTTAACACTTTTTGGACGCTATATATGTTTCGATGGTCGCACCTCCAATTCGCTCTTCACGCTGGCGTCTCTGACCGCGACTCGTCCGCTGTCCACTTAACCTTAAGAACATCCAGTTTCTCGCGATCCATCAACGCGCGCTACGGATCGCCCGTTTGGAATCGCATCGCGGCGGGCGTCGTATCAAACGCTACATCGGTTTCAGGTAATTTCGGATCAGCGGGCGGTCCGATTTCGGTAGGCGGTCGTGGTCACGCGGTGGACCGGCTCCTCCCGGCCTCAGAACCGTGGCAACGCATTAAAAGTGTTGTTTAGCAGGCTATTCCGAACGTTATTTCCTGACTGCCGGTCAACGGGTGGGATAGATTAGTTCTCGAGTCGAGCCAGTGTCGGCTACTTGCCGCGGGGTTCTGTCCGGCTGGCTGACTGACTGGTCTGATTTTGGGAGGAATTCCTATCCTTTCCTGGTCTCGGCCGGTGTTTCACACCGGTGCCTGACCACGGTAACGTCCCGGCGAGAACGACCATTAATTCGTAACGATGTTTCGCGCTCGCGCGCCTCCTGGCCTCGAGTTAATCGGCGGAGGAACGTTAATGGCGATAAAATTGGTGATTAACGGGAGCGCCGTGAACTATGTTAATGGGTCCCCGAGGGAATTTCGTTGTTCCAGTAGCCGACGGTATCAGAACGGCGCGTTCAGCTTTTAATTACCGCGCGTTTGGTCCTCGTGAACGCGATTACCGCGCGGACCGGTTTATTTCTCCCGTTACAATCGTATTCGAGTAATAATTTTAGATGAAATAATGGAGTACTCGTCGAGCAATACGAGAGACCACGAGAAAATGTTTTACTCACACTTCGCTTGAAACATGTATTCCAAACAAATAATAAAAAAAGAATTATAGCTGCCTTTAATGATCCAGTAATTGATCGTAGAATTGGCAGGAGTTTGTAGATAACGCTGGATTGTTCACTCGCGAGAATCAATTTACGACGATTACGTAACATAGAAATATCTTTGGTCGACCTCTCGCGAATAATCTTCAGACAACCTCGGAACAGTTTCGAAGTTTGTATCTCCCGATACTCGGCCGTATTAAAACAATGTGTGTATTGCGAAAAGCGAAAGGAACAACGCGGCTCGGCGGCGGCAGTCGAGGAACGTAACGGTCCCGTAACGCGCGGAGCCGATGGAGATTAAGAGCCGATTAAAATTCATGGCGTGTCGACCGGTATAATTCGATTTCGTAGGTGTTCGTGCAGATCGAGTTACCGTCGACTTCGCCGGTCGACTTCTTTTTCCCCTTAGCGCGGCGCGGACGTAGACGGAGGGCGAAGCGGGGCGCTGTGTCGAAGGCTCGTTCGACAAACCGCTCGTTGTGTGACATCGATTAAAATTGAAAACGCGGCTCATTATCGATTCGTCATGCTAACCGAGCGTGAGGAGGCACCGACTTACGGATTCCGCTCAGATCGTGTTACGCGGGATCCAATCGTTTACTAGGCTCCAAGGACGCGCCGCGCCGCGCGATGATAATGCAACGTGATGGTTTCCGAAGACGAGTCTCTGTCTATTCATAGTTACAACCGATCCCCGTCGAAACGAGGATTCGATCGTTCGGTTAAAAGAATGAAATACAAGATCTCTTAAAAAATGTGTTTGAAGGAAACGAACGATTAAGCGTAATATTTAATGTGTATAATAATGACTGTCATGAAACGTGGAATAAGATGTACGAGCACAATTTGTCCGAATGGCATGCCACGTCGAGGACGCAGTTTATGAAGAGCAATCAGAGCTTCATCCAGCTTGATATCATCGAAGGATCGCCGTCCATGGCCGATCCACGAAGATCGATCTTCGTGGGTGGACCAATCGAGGTCCCACAAGGCTGATTCGCAAAAAGACGCGCGAAACAAAACACGCTTTTAGAACCCGACGAACGGGCAGGAGCACGGGCGCGACGAGGACGGAAGAAACAAGTAGAATAGGTCTACCGGCGCGGCGGAAAGCCAGAGGAACGGGACAGGAAACAGAGAAAGCGGCCGAAACGCAGAGAAAGATGCCGATCTCTTCGCGGAATATGTTTACATTAAAGGCGTGCTTTGAAAAAAAAAAAAAAAAATGGCCGGGACGAACCGCAAACTGCTTAACGAGTCCTGCTCCTACCACCCCCTCGTCTCGTCTCTCCACGGCCTTTCTCCTCTCTCCCTGTACCGCGCCGCGAAGTTGCATGTGCACCCATACAACGGGTTCGATAGCGATGGCCTCGAGTTGCGACGAACCAATTAAAAGATTTATACTACCTGTGGGAATATTTTTTAACGTATCAAGGCTTCCACCGCGGTGGCACGTCGGTGAACATATCTCAAGTCTCAGTCCTGTTATTAAAAAATGAACAAACATTTTAACTCTCGAGATATTAAAATTCGAATCCGATTTATCACTTTGCGATCTGATTGAAATTTTTGTAAAAACGCAGATTCTCAAGCTAGTTGGCCTTAGCGCGTTGACTCGTCGCCGTGTTTTCTTCGGCGACGAGACAACGCGCGATGTCCAGCGAGCACGCGCGGCGCGGCGCTTCGGGGCGAATTTTAATTTTCACGAGCGGGGGATACCCACCCTGTGTATTGTCATTAGAGAGAAAGGCCGGCAACGCGTCGGCCAGTAAGGGGGAAAAGTCAGGCCACGAATTATGGGCCGAGGAAGGGAACGGTAGCGATGCGGGTGAGAGGAACAGAGAGAGAGAGACATCCACGGTGTTATTAGATTTCTTGCAAATTACTCGCGCGTCCCATTAACGAGTCCCATCTGTCTGGATTACGAGGCGAGCCTCGGCCTCGCTCCGTTCCGCGTCCTCTCGACCCCGTCCGCCGATTTAAAGCGTTACCGCTCTCTGGTTCTCCTCGTTTCTCTCTCCGTCGTCTCTTCCTCGTTCTTTCGGGATTCGTGAATCTTTCGCTCAATTTTTTTTTTTATTCTACCGTGCGGTATCTGGCACGCTGTTATGTTGTGAAATGGCGAAGAGATTGAAAGATCGGGTAACACTGTTAGTTTCTCCCTTAATTTTCTCTTTCCGTTAGGGATAAGATTCGACGTGCACATTTTAATTTCTCGCCTGAATGCATACCGTAAATACTCGGTTGACTATCCTATGATACGACGTTTGATTCATTGCGTTAAGATAATTTACTGACGTAAGAATCGAACATTGCTCGAAGTCTCGCAGAGGGTGTACGAATCAAAGTGTGTACGATTCGAGGGGAGCGTGGTCACTCGCATGGACCACCCAGCACGGTGGTCGAAGGTATCGCGATATCGTATCGATCTTTGGCCCGGAACACACGCGGCGGTGGTGACGGTGGCGGCGGGAGCAGAAAAAAACAAGGCAATTTCCGAAAGGAAACACGTGAAATCGATAGTAGCGTGCCTGGGCCCCCAGATCTCTACGACTCTTTCTCTCCTCCTCTCGGAGAGGAGAGGAGAGGATCGAATCGGGGAAAGACAGAGAGGGAGCCGTGTGGAAAAGTCACGACCACGCGGGGAAAACGCCGCCTCGACCGTCCTGGCGGGGGTGGAAAGAATTGGAAAAGTGGAAATAGCCCCGGTGAAATTGCTAAGTCGAAATGGGCTTCCTTGAAACTTTCACAGACGTCGTTGTCGTGGGCTCTTCGATTTTATCGGCGGGAGTCGAACGGCCGTGTAACCGTGGTAATGGTCGCGGTGAACATCGGGGAAAATTCAGGGAAACGGATACATTATGTATCGGACAATCCGCGAATTTCAAGATCCGTCGATCTATATTTGCACAATGAAATTCCGTTTAACGTTTGCACGAACACTCAGACGATTCCACGTGTGAGAATCTCATTCAAATAAATTGAATACGTTTGTGTTCCTCGTTTGAATTTTTTAAAACTTCATTTACTACGAATCGAAGAAAAATCGATTGCGTAATGATTTTAACTTTCATTTCGGTCGCCTTTAACTAGTTCTTCACCGGTCATAGTTTCACCAATTACGTCCATAATTAGAGAACCCGCAAAGTTCCTCTGGTCCAAAATCCTGTGCAAATGCAGAGAAAACCGACTACGTAACGGTTCCAATTATCGAGCGTAACTCATCAATTTATCTTCGATAAATTTCACGGGTTCACGGTTTCTACCGAACAAACGGAGAGCGGCGCGGCGGCGGCGGCGGCGCCTAGTCCTGATCGACGCCCTTCGGCCTCGAATCGAGATTTTATTCCCGATCCGGGATACTCTTTCGGGGTCCGAGTATATAATTTTCATTCGTTATTCCGCGAAACTCGAGGAACTCCACGGTAATTGGCCAAATTGCCAATCCTGCCAATCAATCGTTAAATATCAAGGATAGCCCAGGCTGCCTCTTCCGATGGATCCGCGTTTCCAGTCACTTTCTGCTTCGTCTTCGCGTACCTGGATATACATATACTAACGGTACGCTTGTTTAAAATCGTCTGAGTGCGAACGTACGTACAATGAAA